CTCTTGTAACACTTTGCTGATTCTCTTTTCTGCCACTTCAATATTCCTGCTCCTAACCCACAGAGCAGAGTCATCTGCAAACAGCGCAACACCTACCTCACTACTTATTTGTTTGGGGAGATCATTTGTCATGGTATTAAATAAGGCCAGGCTGATAACTGTTGCCTGTATAGTTTTTAACATTATATGTATTTGACATAACTTTCCCACCTCCAACCAGCATGGTCCCACACATTCTTCCTCTTATCCCTAGTGCATCTACTTTGTAGAACAAGCCTTCCCTCCATATCATTATACACCGTCTCAATAGCTAGAAAGACCACTATCACAAAACCTGTGCGCCTCATACTTGTTTGTATTTCAGTTTCTAATTTAACAACATGATCCAGATTTCCTGCTTTTATAGCAACCGCTCAGCTCCTCTCCCAGTTGGGGCTGGCCAATCCTCCAGGTGCAGTCGGGTGGGTTAATTGGCTTCTCAGACCCACATTAACCCTTTACAAGCTAGGATGGGGTATATACCCCATCACACTATCTATGGTGTGATTGCATTTGGATCACACCTGGAATTAATTTGGCCCAATAGCCAGAGCTACCCAGAGGATTCAGAGGGCCTGGGGCAAAGCAATTTTGGGGGCCCCTTCCATAAAAAAAAGTTGCAATACTATAGAATACTATATTCTTGTGGGGGACCCTGTGGGGCCCGGGACAAATTGCCCCACTTGCCCCCACCCCCCCGGGCGGCCCTGCCAATAGCTTTACTCACAAAATCCAGTTGGCAGGGGAAAAGATTATTATGAGGGCATTGTGTAATAATGACTCAAACTAGTTCTCTGCAGCATTGGGAAGACAGCTCAGAGCTCTGTTTTGTTGGCGTGAAGAGAGATTAGGCTGAAAACCAAAATGCTGTAAAGTTCTTTAATGCCATAGAAGATCCTGTTAAAAGAATGATGGAAAGACCACAAGGCTTTTTTGGATGTTCAACCCCTGGATGGTTTAGCAGGGCTGGATTATGCAACCCTCTCTTATGCCAGGCCCCAGTACAACTCCCACTGAAACGGCTGGAAAGATTGCCGTGGACTTCAATGGGGGCTAGATCAGGTGTTTGATGAGTCCTTACTCACATGAGGAAATGCTCAACACCACGAGTAAGGGCTGCACATCTAGCTAGGGTGACCAGATGTCCTGATTTTACAGGGACAGTCCCAATTTTGGGGGCTTTTTCTTATATAGGCACCTATTACTCCCCACCCCCTGTCCTGATTTTTTATACTTGCTATCTGGTCACCCTACATCTAGCCCTTTGATAGCCATGGCACATAGCTACCACATCAGAGATTGACCCGGTTAGGGGAGGCTGAGACATTTCCTAATTCTCTCTCTTTAGGCCCTTATCATGCAAGTGCTCAACTTTATGAGCGGTTTCATTAATTTCAAAGGGACGCCTCATTTAGTAGCAAAGTAAAGCACGTGTAAGCGTTTGCAGAATTGGAGCCTTAAGAGACCTATAGGCAGCCTCAAAATATTTATCCAGGGGTGGTTGTTTTTTTACATAAGAAATAGCAGGTGCGGACTTATTTTTCCCTGGAGCACTATACCAATCTGGGGAGGACCTGAAATATGGCATCACAGCTGGAAGCTGACACCTGACTTTGCAGCCCTCTCAACCCCGATTTGAGTGAGGAGGAGAAACTTCATCCTAGGTTGACTGTAGATGCAATATCCCATTTCAGGGCCTCCAGTGATCCCTAAGGTCCTCCAGCAAAGTCAGGCCCTGGAATTTCTGATGAAATAGAAAAACAAAACAAAACAGAAGAAACTCTCTGACCCTCCACAGTTGCTATAGGAGAAGAAAAAAAGTGAAGACAAAATAGCCTTTTTTTTTTTTGACTTGGCATTTCAGTCTTCAAGAGACTCACTTCCACTGCTGAACACCAAGCATTCATGCATCCTGGTGACATGTATGGCAAAATGAGCCTTTCTGGCCCCACAAGGAGGAGGAGGAAGCTATGGAGTGGGGAATCTGTTAGAGAAGGAGCAGCTGACCCAGAGGTGGATTGAGTAGACGGGCTTCTTCACTGCGATACTTGTTCCCCTTGACCCAATTGTCAAGTAAGCACTGGATTAGTTACAGCACACTCCTTTTATTTAAATTAGTATGTACCCGCCCCTATTTACTGTTTACGGTATTACGCATATTATACAGACATTTGTACCCTGAAAATACATTTCTTTGCAGTAATTGTAGCCACCAATTCCCTTAAATCAGCAGTTCACAGGGGAGGGAGGAAGGGGCCATGACCCCGAGCTCGTTTATGTAGCTGGGAAAGGAAGGGAGGGGGGAGATAACACTGCTTCATACAAAGAGTATCCTTTAGACCCCCACATTCCTTATGCAGCTGCAATGCTTATCAATTCTTAACAAGCAGACGGGAAGGGAAAAGGATGGCAACTTATTAATCAAGTGGAGAAATAGTGCTTGCCTGTGCCTTCACTCCCTAATATCATGCTAGGGGCTACCCAGGCCTATACTTAACCCTTACATATCCCAACAGAATCGAAGAACGTAACCCAAATGTAATCCCCTGACCTGCTGTGGCAAGATGAGCAAAACTGCCCAGCTGCTCTTTCGCTTTAATGCACCGTTGTTTAATACCTCTGAAAAGTGACCTTTAACAAACCAGGAAAAAGGGTGGCTGGCGAGAAGCCCTGAGATGGGATCGTCCTCCCTTCATGTGACTGGGGAATTACCTTATTTGAGAAATCAACCAGAGAATGCAGATATGGTCTGAGTGATATACCAGCCAAGCATAAGGTGCATCTCAGCCACAGCTCCTGGCTCCCTCAAAGGGAAGGTCCCGACTTCTTAGCAGCAGCTGCCCCATAACTCCAGCCTCTGTAGCTGCCACAGGTGTCCTCTTGGGCTCTTCTGCCGGATTTCTCCAGCCAGGAGGGATATGCCAGCAGGTAAGATGATCTCTTGCTGTACACGTGGCATTCCCAGATGGCATTTTCTCTCTCTCTCTCCTTTTTTAAAAATATATAAAACCATTAGAAAGGCAGATTTCTCCAGCTTTGCGCCATACATGAATTCTTGGCACTCCTGCTCAAAAGACCTTTTATTATTTATTGGTATTTGACTTCTAACTGCAAAGTGCTAATCAAAGCCCTGGATCCGATAAATACATGCGCCAAGATAATACGGTGCAATAGAACAGGCCAAGAAAAATAGCTAATTACAGCCAGCATCAAGATTTAAAAAAAAAAACAACAACAACTTTATCCTTGAAATCAAGTCCTGACTGGAGTCTTTCCATTGACTTGAACATTTTCTCGGGTCCTAAATGCCCGAGAAAACATGGAACGAAATGCTGGCTGCACTGTCGTCAATGGAGCAACAGCCCATCCGTAGGCTCTGCAGCGTGTCCAGTTTCACAAGCCTCTGCTCATGTTAGAGCAAACCATCATGTGTGTCTCTCACACACACAAACAGTGCGGGAGGCTATTGGAATGATGGGGTTCAGAATGGAACAGAAACAAGAGGTTTTGGAATGGTGAGGGGCATAATGGAGACAAGGGTAGCTGGAATGAAGGGGGAACAACGGCTGGAGACATGGATAGAGAATTATAGGCACGATTGTAATGCAGGACTGAGGTGTGTGGAGTGTCATGACGAGGGAGTACTGAAAAGGAGGGGAAATCGAGCCCTGGAGGGGGTGGGAGTGGGGGTGGCTGGAGTGCAGATGGGACTGGGCGTTGGAATGTTTACTGTGACACTTCATCACTGAGGTATTGGATGGCACTGGAGATCCAGCTTTATTGCCACCCTGAGCGGTTCCTTTGGGGTTACTGGGTAAAAACACAGGCATTCTCGTATTGGATCAGACTGTGCTGGTCTAGCATCAGGCTTTCACCCTCCCAACGAAAGGTGATTCTCCCCCTTGAAGGTTTATTATGGCCAGTTGTGCTATGTTGTACATTGCTATATTATCCTGAACCCTGCCAGAGAGCACTGTACACCCTGAAACATGATCATTACCCTTGGCTCGCTTTCATAGTAGCCCACGAAAGCTTATGCCCAGATAAATGTGTTAGTCTCCAAGGTGCCACAAGGACTCCTCGTTGTTTTTGCGGATACAGACTAACACAGCTACCACTCTGAAACCGGATAGTTGCAGGTGTTAACTATGGTCATAAAGTTACCCAGACCTTTTAAAAATCCATTCTCAACATTTCTTACTGATCTCCAGTAGCAGCGAGTTCCACACATGGACCATATGCTGTGCGAACACTCCAAGCATCACAATCATAGTGAATTCCAGGGGAGAGAACTAATGAACATCAAGGATGCTCTGAATTATCCCAGTTACAGCCAGCTGATGCATCAGCTAAGGATCCCCTTAGGTCAGGCAGCTTTCTGGCTGCGGCAGGGGCTATGGGAGATTCATCCCTAAGGCATCAGATCTGTATAACGCAAAGGACACCACCACTGGGTAACGAGGGGCACGCTCACACTCCCTCTGTTACTGGGTGTGTTTGAGGCCTTGGTCTGGAATTATTTCAGGAACTCATGCAATCTCTTTGGTTTGCAGACAGTGGGTTGTTCTGCAGCTGCCACTGAACATTGGGCTGTAGCTGTGACATGATTAGAGCTGAGTGAATAATTGATTCCCCCCACCCCACACACACATTTTTTTTCCCAATTTGCTAGCCCAAAAGAAGTCATTTTGGGTCAAATAAAAAAATATTTTGTTTAAAACAAAAAAAGTGGGGTTTTTTTTTAAAAAAAAAAAAAAAAGTCAATCCAGCTACATTTCCAAAAATTCTAGCCCCCCCTTCCCTCAATTTTTTGTTCAACCAATACTTTTCTCTAACTTTGCAAATAGTTCATTACCCCCAATGTTTTTTTCTTTTCTTTTTTTTTTTTTGAAAATAAGCTCCTCATCTGAAACATTTCACTTGGCTCCAGACGTGACCCCAGAGTCTATTTCTTCCTCAGGTTCTGCACGGACATGTGGAAACTCTTCCTAATGGCAATACTGGCAGCCAGCAGTGAGTACCGGAAACCCCACACCCCCATCCCCAGAGGGCAGGCCACGTGGCTTCCCTCAGCAAAGTGGCCGCCATCTTGCCAAGGAGCTACAGAGGGGCTCAAGCCACAAGCTGCGAGTTCATATTTTGAAAGCCCCAAAGTTAGTCCTGGGTTGGGCCCATTAGTGAACTCTAGCTCTGCATTAGGCTTACAAACCTGCTCACAACGCAGGGCTGTTCAGAACAGAGGTTCTGACCCATCTTTATAAAGAATTGCAGAAGAAACAACACTGCTGAGCGTCTCCGCTGGGGTTAAGGGTCAGTGCCACCTTGCAGGATGTAGTCTATCAATACGCTTTCCTCCCCGCCTCCACACTGGTGCCTATCACTATAGATGCTCCTTCCTGCTAGGAGACGGTCACACCGTCATCAGATGCCTTGGAACTGTGTCGTGGCAGACGGGGCTAGCTTGTTTGTACTGCGTACAGCAGAGGGCATTGCAGCCCCTCAAAACAAGCCCATCTGTTCACAGCTCAGCCCCCCCACATACCTGGGGGCATCAGTTTGAGTCACAGCTACCATTAGCTTCCAAGCTGCCCCTGACTGGCCTGGTTGAGATCATGAGACTATTTCAGTGACAGGCAGAAAACAGTGCCAGGGCAGATGACCTACTTATATAGCCCCTATTACGCTGGCATCCAAGTGTCTTTATCCTCCCAGCACCCACCGGAGGAAGGAAAGAGCTATGACCACCTTAATACAGACAGGGAACCGACGCAGAGAGATTAAGGCCTGAATGCACAAGAGGCGTTAGGTACCTGGGAGAAACCACTGCGATACACAAAGCCTGAGTTAGGCACCTACGCTCCTCTGCAATGAGTGGGGAGAGATGGGTGCCTGTGACCCCGAACCACAAACCCAGCATGATCGGCAGGGAGCCGCCTACGGTAGCCAATGGGAGGTGCCAACCAGGGGGCGTGTGCTAAGCCCCACCTTGCTCACAGGGATACGGGCACTCACCCAGGATGTGGGAGACCAGGATCCAGGCCCCCTGCACCATTGACTCTAGTTATCCACAGTGCAACAGGAGAGATTGAGGGATTTCCCCACATCAGAATATGCCAGAGCCCAATGGTTAGAGCACTCCCTGTTCAAATCCCTTCTCCCCCTCAGGTCTCCCACATCCAAGGTGAACACCTTAACCACTGGGCTAAAAGTTCAAGGGATACTGTTGTCATCCTGGGCCCCGCCCCCTCCCCCTATTTTGTATGAACTTGCCTGAGGGGCCTGATCTAGGAGGAGACCTCTCAGCATCCCTACCAGATCAGGCCCCTGTGCCAATGAGGTGGCTGAATGTCCCTGGTTTGTGAATCACTCTGGGGCTTAGGTGGGAGATAAGCATCTAGACCCCCCCGGGGAAGCAGCAGTGCACATGCTCAGAGACAAACACAGACGCTGAAGGAACTTGTACTGCAAAAAAAAAAAAAAAAAAAAAAGAAAACCCCCAAACCAAAAAAAAAAAGAAAGAAAGAAAGACATACACTTAGGCACCTACAGGATTTCAGCAGGAGTTTTGTGCATTACAGTGGTCGTGGAACTGGGGTTTGGGCACCTATCTTCTTTTTTACATTCAGCCCTAAGTGACTTGCTTAAGGTCACACATGGAATCTGTAGCAGAGCAGGAATTGAACCGATTATCTCCTGATTCTAGGGTGACCAGATGTCCCGATTTTATAGGGACAGTCCTGATATTTGGGCCTTTTTTTTTTTTTTTTTTTAATATGGGCTCCTATTACCCCCCCACCCCTGTCCCGATTTTTCACACTTGCTGTCTGGTCACCCTACCTGATTCCCTGGCAGTGGTTTGACCACTAGACTACCCTTCCTCCCTGTGCTGGGTTAGAGCTAATGTGCAAGCAGCAGCAGAACAATCAATATTAGTGATTTTGACCTCCCTCCGCATGTCAGGTGAGGGATCAGGGAAATGATTCTCCTTGAAGGCAAAACATCTCCTTGGAAACTCGTGAAAAGCCCTTTCTGCTCTTTCGCAGTGTTGACCATGATCCACAGCAGCCTCCTCGATTTCAAATTCATGATCCGGAGAATTACTGGGAAAAGTGCCCTCATTTCCTACAATGGGTATGGATGCCACTGTGGACTGGGTGGGAGAGGGCAGCCTCTGGATAAGACAGACTGGTAAGCTTTGGTTCAGGTCAATGCTGCTGGTATCAATACTAGCATCCATTATTATTACTACTAGTATCAATACTAATTTTAGCAATGCACTGATTTAGTTAGCTGGGCATCTAAATCCTAGGATTGTAACTGCACTAAGCTCTTTAGCACTCTGGGGCAGAGCGCCTCAACTCTCCAGCTTATGTGAGAATGGAAACTCCTTTGTAGTCAAGGCATGCTGGGGTGATTCATCCCCAGAATCTTAAAAAGGCCAATAGAACTGTGTGATTAGTAGTAATAGTATTTATTTGTATTATACCACAATGGGGTCCTGGCTCAGGATAGGCTCCTTTGTGCTAGGAGCTGTACATACACAGAACAAAGACAGGCCCTGCCCTAGGGAGTTTTCAATCTAATGTATTTTTTGGTTCAGTCTGCTGCCACAAAACAACCAACCAGTCATTTCAGTCCACCTCCAGAACAAACTTTAATGTTTTGGCAAATCAAAAAGTAGTTTTAAGTTGAACTAAATGTTTTGTTTAGATCTGATTTTTGGCATGTTAGGGTTTTTTAAATTAAAATTGAAGGACATTTTAAAACAGTTATGAATCAAAAATCAGAACAGTTCATTTTGAAGTGAAATGTTGCAATTTTTCCTAAATAGTTTTGAAGGCTCCACCTCCAACCAAAACTATTCAGCAAATTCAACAAATTCACAAAAATGTTCCAGTCAACACACATCTGCATTTTTTGCTAAAAAAAAAAAAAAAGTTTTGTTCAAAAAGTTTCACCCAGCTTTGGACAGGAGCTGGATTTGAGGCACAGAGCAGCGCTAAGAACATCACTTGGGATAAACATCTGAGCTCCTGGGTGTTTTTCCAAACCAAGCCCAAACTCTGTTCCTTGGGAGGCTCACTCACACTCTCCCCTCTAGTAGTGGTGATGTTGGACATTACTTCACCTAGTCACATTTTCCACCCTATTCCTGTGTTTCTGTCTCCCTGAAGGTGCTGTCATGCCCATGATTGCTGCTATAAGGAGTTAACCAAACAGAGCTGTCACCCATTTTTTGATGATTATCAATACTCCATCATCAACGAAGACGTTATGTGCTGTGAGTAGTATTTTCTGCATGGCTAAAATGGCCACGGATACCGTGGTGATTTACGGGACCTCGTTCTCTTGCTTGAACCTTTTACAATGACATTGGAACAAATGTGTCCTAAAGAGAAACGGACAGAGGGGCTTTTGGGAAGAAGCAAAGCACTTCCAGGATAGCTAGCGTTGGGGGTGGGGAAAGTACTTCAGGTCCTTCTGGTTCCTCCCCACCTACCTCTTCTCACAACCTCCAAGGCAATTAGGGTGACCTCTTGCAGAGCAAGTGGAAAGGACCTCTGAGCTGTGACTGACTGAATGTCAGTTCCAAGGCAGGCAGCTGTGATGGATCGGCAGTGCCTTTGCATTCCAGTGCTGCAGTGCCAGAGCCACTGGGCCTCATCGGTCACTGTATTTACACCTAAGAAGATGGGTGTAAAATGTTGCCATTCTGATTTTCTAGCATTTTATACCCACAACGCCCAAGTGGGCGTGACTGCAACCGTCAGAGCTGCCATCTTGGCCCACACACTGGGAACTGAGACCTCCTGAGTGAGATGCATGAGCTGCTAAAGCTCTGTTACTGCCCCAGCTACAACACAAAGCCTCTGGGGATCAGTACAGAGGAGGGGCATGTAACACACTCACCAGTGGGCTACACGAGGCAGGGGAGAATCGGCTGCACTCTGCTAATTTGGAAAGGCACCTAAGCTGGCAACGGAGCAGCAAATCCAGTGCCGATGGCACCAGTGCAGCGTTCTCAGCTGCTGCCATGCCAACAGCAGTGTCGCAACATTCCCGGCAGTGTTAGAGCAACAGGGCTGCCTCGTTCCTCTTTCGCTACACCTCATCCATGCATCTGGAGCGCTGAAGGTCAGGAAGGAACAAACTGCTCGGCACCTGGCCTCCGAGTGGGTTCCTTGCCTTTTAGTTACCGCACAAGAGTTGTAGAGTGAGAAATGCTTTTGTTCCTGCAGGGAATACAACTAACTCCACCTGTGCAAAGCAAGCGTGTGACTGTGACCGGACAGCGGTCCTGTGTTTCAGAAAGGAAGCAAGCAGCTATAACAAAGGATACCGTTATTACTTCAATTTCTTCTGCAAAGGATCTACCCCCAGTTGCTAAATAAAGTTTTACTCGCCATCTGGCTACACAACAGATTGCAAAGCACAGCTGTTTCCTCTTTCCAAAGTACTCGAGCCCCTTCCTCAACCCCTCAGAGACCACCAAGCTGCCAAGTGAAGCAATCTCTTCCCTGGGGACAGTTAAAGCAATAGAAGGTGCTGGCTTTTATGTACCCTGTCTGTGGAGGTATCAGTAGCTATGGACATGAAGTTGCTCAGGCAGGATATTAGTGAGCTGTACAGTCATCACCATTCACCCAGTTAAATCCTATGAGGAGCAGTACCATGAGGACTAACTCTGCGGGTGCTGTACCCTCTTTTCCTCTTGGGCTCTCAAAAAGGGAGACAGACACACACACACACACCACCAAGCCAAGTTTAAATTGTAGGCCAGATCCTCAACTGCTGTAAATCAGCATTTACTCCTCCTTCCTACCTTGCACAGACATGTAGCCTAAAATCACAGGCTAGCCCTTATGTTCCATTAGCACCTACACCAGATTACCTCCCCTTTGTGCTAAGTGCTCTACTTCAGGGGTGGGCAAACTTTTTGGCCCGAGGGCCACATCTGGGAATAGAAATTGTATGGTGGGCCATGAATGCTCACAAAATTTGGGTTGGGTGTGGGAGGGGGTGAGGGCTCTGGTTGGGGGTGCGGGATCCAGGGTGGGGCCAGAAATGAGTTCAGGGTGCGGGAGGGGACTCCAGGCTGGGGCGGGGTGGGGCGGTGAAGGCTCCGGCTGGGGATGAGTAGTTTGGGATGTAGGACTGTGCTCTGGGCTGGGATCGAGGGGTTTGGAGGGCGGGAGGGGAATCAGGGCTGGGGCAAGGGATTGGGGTGCAGGAAGGGGTGCAGACTCCAGCTGGGGGTGCGGGCTCTGGGGTGGGGCTAGGAATGAGGGGTGCAGGAGGGAGCTCCAGGCTGGGACCAAGGGGTTCGGAGGGCAGGAGAGGGATCAGGGCAGGGGTTTGGGGTGTGGGGGAGTGAGGGCTGGGGATGAGAGGTTTGGGGTGCAGGAGGGTGCTCCAGGCTGGGATCGAGGGTTTTGGAGGGCGGGAGGGGGATCAAGGCTGGGGGAGGCTCAGGGGTGCAGACTCCGGGCAGTGCTTACCTCAAGCAGCTCCCGGAAGCAGCGGCATGTCCCTTCTCCGTCTCCTAAGCGGAGGCGCAGCCAGGTGGCTCTGCGTGCTGTCCCGCCCGCAGGCACTGCCTCTGAAGCTCCCATTGGCTGCGATTCCCAGGCAATGGGAGATGTGGGGGCGGCACTTGGGCAGGGGCAGCATGCAGAGCCGAGCCCCCTGGCTGCCCCTACACATAGAAGCTGGAGTGGGGCCAGGCCGCTGCTTCTGGGAACCACACAGAGCATCCCCAAACGCTCTCCCCGGCTGGAGCACCAGAGCGGGGCAAGCTTCACTATCTTCCCTTACTATTTTATGGATAATTTATGTATGTTTTGGATTTCAGCGTGTGCCCCTCTGCTTGGCCAAAGCTCATCCCTGTGCTGGTACAAGGGCTGAGACAGGGCTGAAGGGGAGGTGCCCTGCGCCTTGCCAACTTCAGGGCTGCTGGGGCCAGTTTGACCTCTCGTACTAAGATAAACTCCAGCGGCAATGGTCCCTATGAGCCAGAATCACTAGGGCATGAGAACCCCATGTCCTATTTCCCCTCCCACCCTGAACGTCACCCAGCCCAAACGCCCCCCACACAGGTGTCCCCTGTGGGGTGTGCAGAGCCAGTTGCGCCTGTAGGGGATCAGAGAGTATTCATTGGAGGACAGCATTTCTTGGCACATTGGATAAAACAATGTAAGCACACATCAATGGTCAGTATCACTGACACACTGGTAACTGACAACCTTTCCTCCCACTTCCACGGAGAAGGAAAAATGCCTTCCCCACCCAAGTGACCCCCCCGAAGAAATTCAAAGATCAGCTGTTTCCCCAGGCAAAGTGCCTGAAAGGTCATCCAACGTAGACTCTGCCGCATGGGGGTGGGTGGATGGGTGGCTGAGTTCCAGAGTCACCATGAACACCATACTGCCAGCCTCCTGACATGCAAATCTATGCCCCGTCAGCTCAAGCATCCCAGCTGATCTTGACCCTCAAGCAAGAGGAGTACAAGGGGCCCCAAATAACACGCAGCTCTCCTTGTGGAGTCTAATAGTGCATAAAGCCATCGACCAAAGGGAACACAGGAATCGATTTGGACCTCATTGTGGGTTTGCACCAATGTGAGAGGAAAATGAGCCCACAGACTAGTCTTATATTCACAGAGTGAACAGAAGTGGGGTTGAAGTGGAGTCTTTGCCCAATCACTTTGATTTGTAGCTACACTACAAGATCTGACAGTGTCAACCTCCATAATGTGCAGCATGGTTGACGTGGTGAAGGTTTTTACGTTGCTGTTTCACTGTGTACATTCCTTATCTCTAGCTGTGCTGGTTACTTAGGCAGGCACTGCAGGGTGGAATTTCTTGCTTGCCACTCAGCACAGCGGGTGGGGTTTCAACTGAAGGCCTTGTGTATGAGCCACCGAAAAGATAACAATAGCTATAAATGTTTGATCACTCGGAGGTGGGAATTCTTAGAAAGATTAAAAGAAAAACAATGGAGTATTCAGTAGTTTACATGCTATAGAAGTTTAACAAGCACACTTCTGTACCTGCTTTAATGAGCTGATTTAGTTAGTGGGTGGAGACGGTGCTGAATGCTGAGAGAAGAAATTGTACAAACAGTACTGAAAATAACAGCCAATGGGCCAACTACATCCTGCAAATCTGCAGGAGTCAATGGAATTATCATAGGGATGAATTTGGCCCTTTGTATGCTATTTTCCACTATTATTATGTTATTCCCCCACAATGATGTGTGTGCGTGCGTATGTATTACCACATGTATGTTTCAGTCTGCCTATCATTTAATATTACCTAGAAATGATCTATCTAGACCACCTACTTACAGCATGTAACCAAGCTTACAAAGAAGAGAAAAACCAACTTTCTATGTGGGGATGCTGCTGCAAAAACATCCCAGAATGCAATACGGCTATCAAGAGAGAGAGATTATCTTAAATTTGGGATGGAATTTATATTCTTGAGTTTACTGCACTGTTCTGGGGCAAAGAATCGGCCCTCTGGCATTACTGCACGCTGGGATGTTTTTGTAGTAGCATCACCAGAGAGAGCTGACATTTCTTTCTACCCTTGGTCACATACTGTAAGTAGCTACATTAGCCCAGCCCTTCGAACAATTTTCACTCTTTTGGCTTTTCCAGGCCCCCTCTAACATTAATCCAAAGATAAAATGGAGATGGACTTGAGGGCAATAAAGAAACTGCAATGCAATTTGTCCATGCAGCAGAAAAGTACTCACTGCAGATGATTTTTTCCATCGCTGATGCTGAACTTCTATTTCGTCAGTACCGGCTTAAAGTTCTTTTCTCTTCGTTTGCCTTAACAGCAGTCAGGGATATAGCAGCACCTTGAGGGAGAAACATACAAAAATCAGGCCTGGGTCACAAAGTTTCAAAATTTTCTCTACACTGCATTATATACGAGAGTTGGGATATTTTATTCTTGTCTTCTCACACCTTCTCCCCCTAACTCAACCCTAAACTGGAGAAAAACGTTAAATAAGCCTTATAGGGAAAAGGCCACCATCAGGTAAAGCAAAATGAATACCCAAGACAACCAGAATTCACATGCCTTACCACCCAAACCCCACTATACCCAAATACAGTTATATACTTGTCGTCTGCACAATAAACCCTCTTTCAGTGCCAGCATACAAGTACCCACGATGCACACATCCAGTCCCTCAGTTAAAGTTAGACACTTTACCCTCTTACCTCCCACCTTTTTGGGTAGACTTTTAAAGTGACAGCACGCCTCCTACTAGAGTATCTTAAATTTGCTAAGGTTAGAGTTAAGCTTGTGCCCTTGAATGTGATTGTGAAGAATAGAGGTTTCAGACAGTGACCAGTATCAGATATTTCAGAGGAAGGTACAAAAAACCCATAAGGGACAATTACAAAATAACCTGCCCATAAGGGAAATGTCTTCCTGACCCCAGACAGATAGTAGCTGGCTCTTGCCCAGAAAAGTGTTTTTCTGTAGCTAGACAGAATTTTATGCTTCTCCTTTCAGTAACATCTAGTGCAGTTTCCTTTCCACTTAATCCACAGTAACATCCGTAATAGGAAAACATGGCACATTTCCCAGTAGCAGCTTTAATCATTTTGTTAAACTCCAAAGCACTCCCATGTGCCATGCTGACATCTGCAAAAGAACAAAGGGAAACATTAAATTCACTGGAAGGGAGGGAAATGTCCCCTTTATAGGACTAGGACCAATGTTCAAAATGATTAAGCAGAAGAGATATAGGTAAATTGCAAAGCTTAACAAAAATAGTTTAAAATCCCAGAGCAATAGCAAAATGTATGTGTAGTCTGGGAAGTTACCAACAAACACAAGCTCAGACGGAATCTTTGTAAATCAGTTTCCTCTTTACTTACCTGCTAGGATCTGCGTTCAGGATTCTACATTGGCACTGGCGTTGCAGATGCTGATGGCACATAAAATAACAGCTCCTTTCTCTGGTTTAGGTGCTTGTGATATTAGCAACTGATGTAGTGAAAACACAGAACCCTAGCCATAGGAACCAGCAGTGGAATGGAATGTACTGCTTTCCCTTTAAAATTAACTGAGCGAATCTTTAGGTTCTTCATAAAGCTTTTGGCAAAAGCTTTGCAGCCCTTTGAGAAAGGCATAATCCAGAGATCTGTGCACAGGATGGAGACCCAGGAACTCGGACACTGAAACCTCCAGCGACCTTGGGCAAGTCACATGGGGCCAGATTTTAAGACGTGTTAAGCACCCACAGCTCCCATGGAATTTAAAAGGAGCTATGGGTTTTCAGCAGTTGTTTAAATCAAGCCCTTAAAATTTGCCTCAGTAGCCTCATCCATAAAAATGGCAATAACAACACCTACTTCCCAAGGTG